TGTGCGTGTAACATACATAATTCGTGTATGTTCATAATGTGAGATGGTTTTAAAAATTTTAAAAACATGATGTTGTTATGAACATGTTTATTGGTGTAAACGCTGCATCATGCTCTGCTTTCACACGAGCAAAAAGAGTCCAGCGACTCGAGTATAGTTACACTTAGAGTATGTTGCATATTTCATTTTTATGTTGGGATGGTGGTCCCACATTTTGCTTGCAATGAATTAGCATGAATGTGGTAGAACAATATGCATAGTACCTACCTGCTTTATATTTCCAAGGCCAAATTTATAACAGGAATTTCCTAATATTTATGTATCAAAATTCATAATTCTTTACTCAATATTTTTGGGATACAAAACTCTTTGTTTAAAAGGGCTAAATATTTTCAAGGCCAAATTTATAACAGCAATTTCCTAATATTTATGTATCAAAAATTCATAATTTCTTTACTCAATATTTTTAGGATACAAAAGTCTTTGTTTAAAAGGGCTAAATATTTTCAAGGCCAAATTTATAACAGGAATTTCCTAATATTTATCAAAAATTCATAATTTCTTTACTCAATATTTTTAGGATTCAAAAGTCTTTGTTTAAGGCTAATATTTTCAAGGCCAAATTATCACAGGTTTGCGCTTTTCCTAATATTTATGTATCAAAAATTCATAATTTCTTTACTCCATATTTTTGGGATTCAAAAGAGTATTTGTTTAAAAGGGCTAATGCACGCAGTATATTTTTCCAGTCGTAAGGAAACATCGAAGCGTAATGGCGTCCAGGATAAACGAAGAAATATCAGAGAAATAAAGTATGATTGTACTGAACGGTTGAATTTGTTTATGCGATATAATTATCATCGAAATATTACTTTTTAAACACAGTTTCATTTTGTAGTTGTTTTCTATATAGTAGGTACTTTATTTGTTTTAGGATAGTATTTAGTTACACAATAATAACACTTTTTTGTTTTCATGTAGATTATTAATTTATAAGTATGTGTTTTCTATAAGTATAGTATTGTTTGTTTTAAAAATAGTATTTAGTTTCTAATATTTTTTTTTGTGGTACATAATACCTGTAGGTATTCTCATTAGATTAGGGTTAAGTTCAAGCATAAAGTTAGTTTACCTTATTTTCATTTTACGGTTGTTCTTTTGACATAATCGTTAAAAATAAAAGTAATTAGGTTCCTAATTATTAATCTTCTTAATCTTACGTTTCTTTTTTTTTTTTATTACGAGATACGCTTTAGTTAAGTTTTCATTTTCTACGTTTTTTCTTCATCACTTTAATGCCGAGAAAAAGAACTCAGCTTTCTCGGCAGACTGCTACTGCAAAGCGGCTGCGAGTTTTGCGCAGCAATGAAACTGAGGATGAAAATATGCACAGGTTGGCTACACAACGAGCAATTACTGAACAAAACCGTGCAAGGGAATCAAGCGTTGAACGTTCGCAGCGTTTAGCCTCACAAAATTTCCGAACTTTGGCGAACCGGCAACGGGAATCGAGTGCTGATCATTCTCAACGTTTGGCTTCACAGAATGCCCGAACATTGGCTAACCGCGATCGGGAATTGAGTGCTGAACGTTCTCAACGTTTGGCCTCACAGAATGCCCGCACATTGGCTAACCGCGATCGGGAATCGAGTGCTGAACGTTCTCAACGTTTGGCCTCACAGAATGCCCGAACATTGGCTAACCGCGATCGAGAATCAAGCGCTGAACGATCCCATCGATTAGCACAGCAAAATGCCCGATCAACTAGGAATAGAACTCGCAGACAACATAATTTATTAAATGCTGCTTTTGCTTATGATTGTACCGTTGACTATTCTGAGCTAAATGATATTGATATTGGTAGCTGAAACTCCTGGACTGTGTTGTAGTGGTGGCAAAGTAAATATACCTATAATTTCGGAACCAACATCCGTTTTAAAGGAACTGATATCAGGCTCACATCCATCATCTAAGCATTTCTTAAATCACTCAAGACAATATAATACATTATTTCGGATGACTTCATTTGGTGCCAAAGAAATTCGTGAGGGAAACTTTATGCCCACTTTTAAAGTCCAAGGGCAAGTTTATCATTTAATCGGTGACTTACTTCCATCTGTAGGGGCACAACCCGAATTCCTGCAAATATATTTTGTTTCCCATGCAGATCAGATATCCTTGCGCTCAAATTTAAACCCAAGCTTGCAAATCGATCTTATCGTCGTTCTCCAAACATATCTTCATGATCATAATACGTATATTCAAAGTTTTAAGTACAATCTAGAAAATAGATCACCGAATGATTTAAAAATTATCATTCATGCTGATGTAAAACCTCCTAATGAGCATAGAGGTCGGTATAATGCGTCGGTAGTAGATGAAGTAGCTGTTCTTATGATAGATGAAGACAAAGGTCCCCGTGATATTGTATTGACTGCGAGAGATGGTCGACTTCAACGAGTTTCTGAAATTCATAGTTCTTATGACCCGCTTCAATATCCCTTACTGTTTCCCTTTGGAAACGACGGATACTGTATTAATATTCCACAGCAGAATACTACGGCTACATTTCAAACTGTTTCATGTATGCAGTTTTATGCATTTAGATTCATGGTGAGAATAAATGACTTTAACAGTATACATTATTTCAAAGGATTATTTAACCAATATTGTGTTGATATGGCGACAAAAATGATCTCTGAGAGGCTAGACTTCATCAAAAGAAATCAAAAAAAATTGAGAGCAGAAGAGTACATTCATTTAAGAGATGCCGTCGTAAATGATGGACATATAAACGCTTCTAATATTGGCCAGCACGTTATATTGCCGTCGTCATTTACAGGATTCCCCAGATTCATGAATGAAAAAAGTTAAGATGCCATGACATATGTCAGGAAATTTGGAAGACCTGACCTCTTCATTACATTTACATGTAACCCCGAATGGCCAGAAATAAAAAGTGAGTTATTGCCCAATCAACATTCTTATGATAGACATGATTTAATTTCTAGGGTATTTCATTTAAAACTCAAGAAAATGATAGACCTATTAACGAAGAAAAATATTTTTGGCCTATCGAAATCCTTTGTTTACAGTGTAGAATGGCAAAAAAGAGGTTTATCTCACGCCCACATTTTATTGTGGCTGGCTAACAAAGTTCAACCAGATTCTATAGATGCAATAATATCGGTTGAAATACCTGACATGCAACAAGATCCGATTCTTCATAATATTGTCATACAAAATATGATACATGGTCCTTGCGGATTTCATAATCCTACATCACCATGTATGAAAGAAAACGTTTGTTCTAAAAAGTTCCCTAGGCATTTTATTTCGGAAACACAAACGGGAGATGACGGTTATTCAACCTACAGACGCAGGTCTCCAGATAATGGTGGAAACACAGCTATAATTCGTGTAAAAGGTACAGAAATGAGCGTGGATAATCGTTGGGTGGTTCCCTATAATCCGTTAACGTAGAGTTTTGTCAATCGGTCAAAGCTATTAAATACATGTGTAAGTATATTCATAAAGGTTCTGATCAAGCCACATTTTCGTTACAAAGTAATAACGATGAAGTAGAAAAATATCTAAATGGTCGCTATATAAGTTCCTCGGAGGCGTTTTGGAGAATTTTCCAATTTTCTATTCATTAACGTTTTCCGGCAGTAGTTCATTTAGCCGTTCATTTGGAAAATGGACAAAGAGTATATTTTTATAATAATGAAAATCTCCAAGATCGTGTGAACAATCCTTCATCAACGACACTTACAGCGTTCTTTGATCTCTGCAAAAGCGACGATTTTGCAAAAACCCTTTTATATCACGAAGTTCCCCAGTATTACGTTTGGCAAAGAAATTCATTTTCTAGAAGAAGACGCGGGCAAGATGTTGAGGGATATCCTGGTGTAAAAAAAGACACAAATTTAGGCCGTGTTTATAACATTCATCCAACTCAAACTGAATGTTTTTATTTAAGAATGTTATTGCAATATGTTCGCGGTCCAATGTCATTTCAACATCTAAGAACCGTGAATGGTGTTATTTTCCAAACGTACCAAGGCGCTTGCAAGGAATTAGGTTTACTGGAGGGAGATGAACATTGGCAAAACCATATCCGATGCTATCATATCCGAGCCAGCTACAAAATTAAGAGAATTATTTACCACTATCCTTATATTTTGCCAACCATCTGACCCCTTAGAGTTATGGAATAAATTTCGTGATGCTTTATGTGAAGATATATTAAACAGAATGCGTAATGAGAATCAGGATATGACATTAGCATATTATGATAATATATACAATGATGGACTAATCATAACTGAAGATAAAATTCATGAGATTTCAGATAAATCCCTAACCGACTATGGGCTTCCTGCAGCAAAAAGAAATAATTCGCTTCTGGACCCGTTAGAAGTAGCGTTGCGAAAACCATATAACATAAATGAATTAAATGAGTATATCACACAAAATGAACCAAGATTAGTTAATGACCAGGTGGCAACGTATACTTGTGTCATGAAAAGTGTTCGTTTTAATGAAGGAAGAATTTTCTTTTTGGATGCTCCCGGTGGGACCGGCAAGACGTTTATCACTAATCTTATATTAGCAAAAGTAAGGTCTCTAGGAAAGCTAGCCTTGGCAGTAGCGTCGTCAGGTATTGCTGCAACCTTATTAGCAGGTGGACGCACAGCTCATTCCACTTTTAAACTGCCCCTAACTGTGTCTTTAGAGAAAGATAGCGTGTGCTCTATACGCAAAAATGGCCCTTTGGGGAAAATTTTACAAGACGTCAGTCTAATAATCTGGGACGAATGTACCATGATACATAGAGCTCACGTAGAAGCTCTAGACAGAACTCTTAGAGATCTTAGAAGCTGTGATAAAATCATGGGTGGGATTACTGTTATGTTTGCTGGGGACTTTCGCCAAACTTTACCGGTAATAGTAAGGAGAACTAGAGCAGACATTGTGAAGGCTTGCCTTAAAAGTTCTCCATTATGGAAATTTGTAAATATTTTAAAATTATCGACAAATATGAGAGCACATTTGGGGGGAGGTAGTATAACTTTCCCTTCAAAATTACTTTCTGTAGGAGACGGGAAAATACCTCATTCTAATAATAAAATTGAAATTGATTGCGATTTAGGAGTAAAAGTGGATAACATCGAGGAATTAGTAACTAAGGTATACCCTGACATCAGCCAAATAGAAAACAAGGACCATCAATGGATGTGTCAAAGAGCAATATTGGCGGCAAGAAATAGTAGCGTTGACGAAATAAATGATATCATTTTGAGTAAACTCCCAGGATATATTTTAACCTACACATCCATTGATACCGTGATGGATCAAGAAGATGTAGTTCATTACCCACAGGAGTTCCTCAATTCCTTGAACCCAAGCGGCCTTCCCCCACATTCTCTTAAGTTAAAAATAGGTGCCCCAATAATTTTACTAAGAAATCTCAAACCACCAAATTTATGCAACGGGACCCGACTTCAAGTAAAATTTCTGCGCAATAACGTCATCGTTGCAATAGTTTTGACTGGTCCAGCAGTTGGTCAAACAGTCCTCATACCCCGCATCCCAATGATACCCAACGACTTACCTTTTAATTTTAAAAGAATACAATTTCCGCTTAAATTATCTTTCGCAGTCACAATAAATAAATCACAGGGGCAAACATTCAAACACGTGGGGATCGACTTACGTTAAGACTGTTTTTCGCACGGCCAGTTATATGTCGCGTTATCAAGATCGGGTTGTGGCGAAAACCAATATCTTCTTCTGCCACAAAATAATAAAACAAAAAATGTAGTATATGCAGAAGTTCTTTAAAATAATAAAATTTACTTTAAAAATTGTACAGATATAGTTTGGAACTCGAAAAAAAAACATAGGTTTTATCCTGAAAATTTTGCGGGAACTCGACCATTCCGAAAATCCCGCAAGAACGGGAACTATGTGGGAAGAATCAAAAATCTGCCGGAAGTCACTATTCCACGCGGACGAAGTCGCGGGCAAAAGCTAGTCATATATAAGCAAAAGATTGTACTAATTTTCCATTACTTATTTAAAAGACTCCTAATAAAAATGTTCTGCCCTAGAGACAAATTTTCGTCATATTCGAGAATAATAAGTGATGCAGAATTAAAATGTTTAATCTATTTATGTGAAATATATGCTAAGTCTACAAGTTGGTTCTATTCTTAAATTTAAAAGTGACGTGATTTTTGTGCGGCAGATTAATCAGAGAACTTAAAACAACGAGAAGGTGCAAATTGAATTTTGTATGATGCTCGATTGGTTAGCTGAAAAATTGAGATCAAGGAGTTCACTATTTTCTGTAATATTTGCTGTTATTTAACAAAAATGAGAATTTATAACAACGTTCTCTGACAAATTACGTATCTCCCAACATAAAGAGAAAAATGAAATGAAATGAATGAGAAAACAAAAAATACAAATGCCACTTCACATATGCATTATTATTTTTTGCCATATAAACGATTTTTATGATGATTATCAATAAATACATGTGAGCGCACTGCTCTATATGTAAGTATGTATGTACAAATATGCGTATGACCGCGCAAAATAAGTAATGCATACCCAAAACTACATACATTTAAGCGTATAAATTTAAGTACGTCAGCCAATACAAAAACAACAATTGTTTCAAATAGCATCAGCACCAGAAATCAATATGGCAGCCAAATTGACAAATCCTAAATTTGTAATAAATCACACATTCATGAAAGCAAACGCCTTACACATCTGACCGAGCCTGTGCTTGCCCACAAGCGTCTTTCGCGACGATGGCAAAAGCTAGAAATCATAAATTGAACATCTTTCTGATGCTCCCTCTAGAAGGGAAAAGTGACAACCCTGCAAACACAGAAAAAAATAACAAAAGTGGCAACAAAACTTTTTTCGATTTAAAATATTTCACACTTCTAAAGTGAAAACATTCATACCTACAATGATTTGTCGGCAAAGCTGTTAGAGCGGCAAGGGAAGCGATGACAATCGGCGAGCGTTCGTTTATTTTTCGGCACATCTCTGATTTTCTACCAACCACACAATGTTGTGACGCTTTGTCGTCGCGTCTGTCCTTCGACAGATTGACTCTTTGACATATAAGCAAAAAACGTGTCAACGGAGATTTCACATGAAGTAATGAGTGTTCATATCTACATACATATGTTGTTTGTAGACAAATTTACAAATATTTTCTTTCATATTTCTTTACATGTACACATGATATGAAAATGCCGACTGTAAAACACAATTCTGTACTTTTGTGACTCCATAATGGTGTCAAGTACATGAATTATTTTAAGAAATATATCAAAATATGTTTAAATTATTATTAATAACTCACAATAAAGTAAAAACTATTTAACATAAAATAATTTAAAAATAATAATAAATAATAGTTCAATATAAGGGAATATATTTCAAATGACATATCAATATTCCCAGTTTTGCTTACATATTATATTCTCGTAATAATAAAATATATAATATAAAAGGGAATATGTTTCAAATGACATATCAATATTCTCAGTTTTGCTTACATATTATATTCTCTTCAATATTCGTCGGTTGCTTATGTTAAGAGAGCGTATGTTTACAGATTCACCGCTGTTATAAAAGCGAGAAATGTTATTTGTTTCTCGTGCATGTAAGGTGAACTCCTTGATAAAATCCTACAAATTGTTCGCTGTCGAACCTGCACCTTCTCGTCCATTTACGCTCTCTGGATTAATCACATAAATATTGAAGCGCGCGTGTGAATTTACTACGTAAGTCATTATCTATTTTATAAATTAAATTGTAGTACGTAAAAAAATACGTAATATTGAACTCACCTTGCTAAAAAGTTTACTTACTTTTTTACTAAAGTAAATAGTAAAATAGTTTTAGTGCTGATTTTACCATCTCCGGATAGCCTATTCGTCAATCAAATTTTCAGTCTTTGACAGTTGTTGTATGAGTTTGACAGTTCTTATTTGACAAATAAGCTATTCGGGACTATAACAGGTGATGAATTTAATTAATTTGATATTGACCGCAAGGTATGTTAAAAATGTTTTAAGTGGTATGTAAACTTATTTTATATTTTTATTTTTTACCGTATAGAATGGCAGACGGTAGATCACGATTGTCGGGACACCAGAATAAAAAACGAAGACTTGAAAAAGGCGCAGAACGACAAAAGCAAGCAGGAGCATTAGAGTCCTTTTTGAAGAAAGTTGAGCTAAACAAACCATCATCACCCATATCAGAAACCGGCGCTATAGTTGAGATTCCGCTTAAACCTCGAGAAGAACATACGTCCGATTCCAATATAATCTGTGAACTGATGCTTCTACTTCTACGTCAAGCGCTATTACAGGTGAAAGTGCTTTTACAGGTGAAGGGGCTATTGCAGGTGAAACTGCTATTGTAGGTGAAGGTGCTATTGCAAGTCCAAGTGTTTCTACAGAATCAACATCTATTTTAGATGTCGACCCAGCCACATGGCCCAATAGATTAACAGACACAGAAATAATATATTTGGTAAATAGAGGTTCTCCAGATCCACTGTATAATTTTAATTTTCCCAAGATATCAATGGTCGGAGGTTTACTTCGTGATACTCTAAGAGAAAGCTTAATAACGGTGAATAAATTTTAAGAGATTGGCTTGAATATTCTGTGGCAAAAAATTCATTGTATTGCTTTGACTGTAAAATCTTCAATACAACTACAACTTCCGGTCTATCTGAAGATGGCTACAAAATTTGGAGGCATGTAGGTGATATGCTTAAATCTCATCAGACTTCACAAAACCATGTAAAAGCTGTAAAATCTTGGTTAGAACTTTCACGTAGGCTCAAATCGTGTCGTACGATAGATGCCGAGTCACAGAAAATTATCGAATCAGAAATAAAACACTGGAATAGAGCATTGTTCGAATTGCCTCAATCATAAAAGTTTTGGCTAAAAATGGCTTGGCTTTTCAAGGTACTTCTAATAATCTGTATCAACATAAGAGTTGTTAGCCGAATTTTATCCCGTTGTGCAGGAACATGTACGCAGAGTTTTAAAAAAAGAGGAGAAACAAGCAACCTACTTAAGTAAAACAATTCAAAATGAGTTTATTCAATTTCAACGGCATAAAAAAACATATTATGGAAGCTATCATTGCATCGAAATGTTATTGTATTATTTTAGATTGTACTCCAGACGCTAGTAAAACTGAGCAGATTGCCATGATAATTAGGTATATTTCTATTATTCAATCCCAAAACCATTCAAGAACGTCAGAGATTGTACAGGTCTGGCACCAACAGAAATTATCGTGACACAATCATCAGCACTTGGATTGTCTTTAGAAAATATAAGAGGACAAGGGTATGATAATGGATCTAATATAAAAGGTATTAAAAGTGGCGTCAAAGCCAGGATTAAAAACATCAATCCACGGGCATTTTACGTTCCTTGCAGTAGTCATTCTTTAAACTTAGTGGTAAACGACATGGCAAAATCCTCACTGGAAGCTACAATTTGTTTTAATACTGTGCAAAACACATACGTTTTTTTTCACTTCAACATTAAAGTGGTCAATTCTTCGGAAGAATGTAAAAGGTATTACTCTAAAACCACTTAGTGAGACGAGATGGGAAAGTCGAATTGAAGCAATTAAACCACTAAGGCATCAAATAGGACAGATTTACGATGCATTGTTTAGTGTTTACCAAAACACAGATATGGATACCTCCACACGAGACGAAGCTTCGGGTTTGTCGAACCAGATTAAACAGTTTAAATTGTTATGGGCTATTATAATTTGGTACCAAACTTTGAATCGCATAAACCCTGTTAGTAAATTAATGCAAAGTAAAGATTTTGACTTAGTTTCCGACATTAAATTACATAAAAATACAAAAGACTTCTTTGAAAACTCACGTTCAGATGATTATTTTACTCAAGTTCTTGAAGACGCCAAAGCCTTAGCTTCTGAAATTGATTACGAGGTGTTAGACTTTGAAAATGTGGCTAGACATCGTGCACGATTCAAGAAAAAGCATGTTACTTAAGAGTGTGTTGACGAACCAATCATTGAACCTCGTCAAAAATATAAAATTGAAGCATTTTTTCACGTTATGGATACAGCTATAAACTCTTTAGAATTAAGATTTTGACAGATTTCTGAGCACAGTAAACATTTTTCTTTTTTGTATAACATACATACATATATGTAAGATAACTCCCAAAAGATGAATTGTTAGAAAGTTGTAAGAATCTCGAGGCTATCTTATCTCATGAGAACTCAAGCGATATAAATGCATTAGAACTTTGTGATGAGTTGTCAGTCAGGGAAAAGTAGCACAAGAGAAAAAAGGCCCATACGTAGAGGAGTTGCAATATGTTGATGATTATAATAAAGTTGAAAGGTACATAACTACGTCGATAAAAAATATTTCAATTTCTGTGAAATAAAGACATACCTTGTATACTTACTAACATAAAAACACCCAACAATATCACGTATTTTATGTAGGTACTTGTATACTTAGCATCCCCCAACAAAACTAGCTCATGACTTATATAGCTTTGTGTATGTAAATGGCGGTCTTTGCCCGGAGCGGCTAAATAGCTAGATCGGTCCCTGGGTGATAGTTAGGTGAACAAAACTATTATTCTCTGTAGCAAAAGGTTGCGAGAGTATAAAAATATGCTCACAATAATACATACAAGTACTTTTCGGTCAATAATACTTTCAGTTTTTATTAAGAATTTTTTATCACATTTTAGTTTGAAGTGCTTTAAAAGCGTGTTGTGTTATTTATTTTTTACTTTATTTATTATCTATGAATTGTTTTCACTTTTAACATAATTGAGATATAAACTATTCTGAACACAGTGCTCTAAATTCTATTTATATAGAATATTTCAGTATTTTAAGAGTTTTCTCCGGACAAACGACGTGACCGTAATTTTCATGCTTTACAAAGCAGACATAACGCTTGAATTATTTTGCATTCAGTCGTTAGAGTTTCTATATGTTATCCCCATTAGGCAAGACGCCTAAGATATCAGCTATTAGGCATTTCCAAGGTCAATTTGAAAAAGGACGCTTCTCCTTCGGTGGCATTGACACTATAAGGCAATCTTGGCACGTCATGACGTATTATTCAGCATCTTTGTCCACACAAGGTCGCCAAACTTTAGAACGTAACCTCCATACATTGTTATCTATAATTATTCCTGAATGTCCCTCATATGATAGGCCCAGAATTAAATGTCGCATATATTTATTGCACTAATCAGTAATATGGAGAGCGATTTGGGTACCAAAAATATGCTCCTCCCCGGCTCAATCATATGGATTACCGAAATTTTATTGGGAAAACCTTGATAGTGAATCAGCAATATTTTCGTCGTGAGGTTGGCTTAAATATGATTCCTAGTGCATATCTTTTCTGGGTGAGAGACTGGCAAATAAAATGATCAGTTTGCCTTATTAAGTTGTACTAGTACGGCACCAACAGCCATCGGACGAACTAGCATTTGCATTCACCGGTGTACCGGCATGAAAAGAGCATTTTTGTTTTAAATAAAATACTAATTTTGAATGAAAATGTAAAAAAAAAATTATTCAAGGAATTGACCTTTGCTTTATACACATTTTAACCACCTTTCTGGCAATTTGTGAATACCATGCCTATAGAAATTTTCTTCTTTTGAAACAAACCAATCAGACACCCAATAATCAACTTCCGTGTAGGAATGGATGTGCTGCTCAGCCAATGTGACGAACAAATGATAATCTGAAGGTGCCAAGTCTGGTGAATACGATGGGTGGGGTGGCGGCTCCCAGCCAAGTACTTTGATTGTATTCTGAATTTTGCTTTGTGTGCTGGTGCATTGCCGTATAACAAAATTACTTTGCCGTGTTTTCCGTCCAATTATGATCGTTTTTCGATCTATGAATGGTTCAAATTGATCATTTGTAATCTGTAGCGATTAGTATTACCAGTTTCACGAGGTTTTAGAAGCTCATGATATACCACACCCTTCTAATCCCACCAAACACAGAGCGTTGCCTTCTTACCGAATCGATCTCGCAGTCGGTGATGATGGCTGTCCCGGATTAATGCATGATTTTCTCCGTTTAGGATTCTTAAAATAAATCCAGTTTTCATCGCCAGTGACAATTCGAATTTTATCGTGTCTTTGAAACAAAATTTCACAAGAGTTTGTCCGGTTTTTCATTTGTCTTTATTCAATTCATGTCGCACCCACTTTACACACTTTTGTATCTTCCCCATAGCTTTCAAACGGTCTAAAGTTGTAAATCGACGTCTTCAAAATTTTTTGGTGGTCTTCAACGTTTTTCATTTCTCACATCAAAATCATTATCTCTGAACCGTTGAAATCATAATTTGCATGTTGCTTCTGATAGAGCATGATCACCATACACCTTGACAAGCATTTGATGCGACTATGCAGCTTCAAATGGATACAAAAAATTAATGCATTCCGCAAATCATCACTTTCCGATACAAAATATTACATTTTCAGCACAATAAAAAAATATAATGTTGTTTCTTCAATGACTGTAGGGTTATTGAATCTTTGACAGATGTCATTTCAACTAAACAATAAAAAATTAAATTAAAAATGTTCCCTACCGACAAATTTGTATATTAACGCTCACTTCATGCAGGGAAACCGTAAACACGGTTTGTCCTATGGGTCAAAGTATAAGAGTTTCGGTGCCGCGGCATTTTATCTTTTAATGTTTGGAATGCCTCGTTCTTGTCGAAACAAAAGCTTCGTTTAATAGAAGATTAGTGATGTCTGCACAGTCTACTATAAACTCACCCACGTATGTGGCTAAATCAAGAAATCCTCCGTTGCAGTTTCTCTGCTAGTCTTGGGCAACTCAAGCTAATAATTAGAAAATAACAGTCGAGAGAACTACCTGGTTCCACTTAGTTTAGTCGTAAAGTTGTCAAGAGTCGGTAAAGGGTCATTTTCTCTCTGCACTGCTTTATTGACCAGCGCATATCTATACATGTCCGAATATCATCATCATCTTTAAACACAATCTCCACTGCTGACATCCACGTCCTTTCTCTATTAGTTTGCTCTTCCAGAATCGACGGCACCCTGTCCTTGTTGCATAAAAATACCGATTCGTTAACGATCAATTTGTCAGAAACAACCGCCATTTGAGAAATGGTGGCAATCCGTCTTGGACTATTTTGTATCAAGGTTGTTGCTTCTAAATCTTGTGTTACCTTAAACAGGCGATCTAAAGTGAATACTCGAAATTGGCTGACTGATTGTATACGACTTGATTGGCTTTCCTCACCTTTGGGACGACTCATTGTCTAATCTGAAGAGCTCACTTTCCTTCGGATCGTCAGCTACACCTCTGAGCCCCTCATGAACTACACAAGTTAGATTCAAAACCTTTCACCACAATCGAAATAACAGGTCGTATACTGTGTTTGACTTTTTTGTCAATAATACATGTTTTTATGACATGTGATGAAGAATTATGGCATATGAAATTGTGCTGCCAGATGTGTTGGCTCCACACTTTATTACTTTTATTTCAAGCTCATTCTATTTGGAATG